CTCACGGAGGAAGTCGACGAGCTGGGGTCTTCCGGGTTCAGCTTCACTCTCTTGGTCTCCTTGGAGGGCTTGAAGGCAGCCTCGTCAGCCGGCTCTTCAGTCGGGATCGGCGCGGCTGAGGCCTCGCCCGCCATGGCGACGATCCGGTCGAGCTAGCGCCGCTCCTCGGCTATGACCAGCGACTCGGCCAGCTTGTCGCTGTCTCGGGCGCACTCCAGGGACTTGCGGTAGTCGCCGGTGACGGTGATGAGGTCCTTGGGACCTGGCATCTTCATCTTCAGGTACGCGTAGTGGGGCAACGCCATGAACTTGGCGAGCACGGGTCGGCCCAGCAATGTGTGGTACGCGCTGGACAGGTCTACCACCTCGAACCAGATCGGCTCGCGCCGGAAATGGTTGTTGTCGCCGAACAGGACGTCGAGCCGGACCCAGGAGAGGCCGGGAACGATGCCGTGGAAGATCGTCTGGGTCGGCTCCAGGTCCTTAGCCTCGAGGCCGAGCTTGGTCATGGTGTCGCGGTAGAGGATGATGCTGTTGCCGCCGCCAATGAGAACTCGGGAGAACTTGCACGTGCGCCGCGCGACAATGGTGGGGTTAAGGACGAGGGCGTAGCCACCCGGATTCGGCATGACATCCGGGTGGTCTTCCCGGGTCCAGGTGACCTGGCGGTCCGACCAGTGCATGTACTCCGGCTTGGCCGGGATGACGGTGTTCACCTCCTGCCGAAGGAGGCGCTCGCTGCGCTTGTCATCGCTGAGGCTGGTGAAGACGACGTAGGTCGCGTTCTGGTCCGGGTAGGCCTCGTCGTGCATCGCGCCGCCGGCTGGGGGCGGCGGTGGAGGCGGAGGTGGTTAACCCGCGCCCGGAGCCGGAGCGGGAGGGGGCGGGACGTCGCCCCTCATGATGTGCTTGGTGATGCCGCATTGCCGAAGCGTGTGCATGGACGGCCTTGCGCCGCTTTGGTGCTTGCAGGGGGCGTCGAGCATCTCTTCGAAGCTCATGGCGGGTTGCCACACTGTCTGCCGATCTGCCGGCGCTTGGCTGCCGGGTCCGCCGCGGGCTCGGTGGCCGCGACGAGCCGGTTGTCGTAGCGCTGGGCCAGTTGGTCGGCCTTGCGCTAGTTGTTTTGCTGGTGCTACTGCCGGCTACTCTCGCCGGCCGGCTTTGGCGGGGAACCGTCTTGGACTTGCTGGCTTCATCCAGCGCCACCTGGATCTTCATGGCGGAGTCGGCATTGGCGTACTTGTCCGCTGTCACCATGAGCACAACCATGGTGGCCGGCTCGTAGCGCAGGAGCTTGTGCTTGAGGAGGGGCCGTCTCAGCACCCGTTGACGAAGTACTGGATTGCTTGAACCTCGTGGACGCCCTCGCAACTGTTCCGGAGCTCGGTCCAGCGTGCGAGGTATTCGCAGCCGGTCTCCGTCGGCCCCTGCACGCACATGGCGAGCTGGCTGGGATGGCCGGGTCGCTTGTAGGTTCCCATGAAGTTGCGGACGAAGGCCTGCTCAAAGTTGACCCACGTGTTGACGCTACCCACCGGCAGACTGTTCAACCAGGTGCGGGCCGACCCTTGGAGCATGAGCGTTGCGTAGCGCACGGCGAGTGTGGTTGCTGCCGGTGATGCCGATGGCGGTGGTGTAGTCGGTGAGCCAGTCCTCCGGCTTCACGGTTCCATTGTACACTTGGGGGTGTCGCGGGGAAGCATGAACCCTTTCGGAAAGGGCTCCTCCCGGATGCATGGGCCGAAGCACGTCGACCTGACGGCACCGCTTTCTTCCACCTCCAGGAAGAAAGCGAGCCGATCGAGGCGGTGGCGAGCGTCGGTGTCGTCGATGGCGTGTGCCCCGAGTCGGCTGGTGACCGGGCCATGGGGGGCCGGGTCGGTTGGAGCCGGATGCCGGCCAGGCTGGCCGGGTCCGCGTCGGTTCTCCAGGGTGGGCTCGTCGCCTAGGCCGTCGGCGGCCGTCGGGGCTGGGTCACGCCGAGTCCGGGTTCGGCCGGAATGCGCCTCGCCGGTGGTGAGGACGCCGTGTGATGATGATCGTCGGGTCCGGCAACGCGGGCAGAGCCGAATCCCACCGGCTTGGCGAGCTTGTTGAGGCGGTCTTGCTGCGCGTTGGCCGTGTCGAGGAGGTCGTGCATCCGCCTGATGCGCTCCTTCAGCTCCTCGCCTATGAGCTGATCAAGGCCGACCGCGGCCGCCTGGGCAGCGTGCATGTTCTTCACTGGAGTCTTGTAGACGGTCGGGATGGCGCCGAGGGCGCGGCCGATCGCTCTGCCCCGGGCTCGCACGTCGGTGACCCGGCTTGGCTCGGCCGCGGTTGGCGTGAAGCCGTAGGCGGTGTTGCGCTCCAGCTGAGCGGAGTCCAGGCGATGCTGCATGGCGGCGAGCATCTGCTGGCGCCTTTCCTCGAGCTGGGCCCGGGCCTCGGCGACGTTGGAGGCGTCGATGACGATGCCGATGGGGATGCGGAGGCTCTGCATCGCGGCGCACAACGGGTTGCATGAGGCAGCCCGCTCCGCTGCGGCCTTGGCTTCGGCAGCCTTCCTCGTCTTGCTCGACGAAGAGGAGGCATCGGTGTCGGTGACGAAGACCTCCACGTGGACGTCTATTGCCCCGGCGGGAATGTTGCCGCCGAGGGAGAGGGGAGAGTCGGAGTAGCTGAGTACCTCGCTGGGTACTCATCGGCCGCGGGCGCATCAGAGATGCGCAGTGCGGCGAAGAAGGCGGCGAGCGCGTCGATGACGTCGTCCGCCAGCATGACGGGCTTGTCGAAGTCGGAGAGGAGCCCCGTCTGAAGCATGCTCCCGGCCAGCTCCTCGAGATGCCCCATGGCGGCGACGTTGGAGGCGTCAATGTCGTGGTGGGCGCACGACAGATGCCATGGGATGGCTAAAGAGAGGAGTAGGCTCGAGGGCACGGGTGGGCTCCAAAGGTGGGATTGGCATGAGCGAGCGCGGAACGTAAGACATATCTAGGTTCAGGGCTCTCCAGAGAGATAATACCCCTAGTCCTGCCGAGTGTGGTTGATATGCAATGGTACAAGGTTGCTCCTGGAGCTGTATGGAGGAAGAAGGAAGACTGGCCAGGGCTTGGGCTGCTCCTTCTCCCCAGGTGTGTTCCACTGATCAGAGGCTAGTTCTTGTGTGCTTACTGCTTCTCTATGCTTGCTTGCCCGCATGGGTGAGGGCTCCTGGGGGGTTTTATAGGCCAACCCCCCAGGGGTACAATGATAATGTTACAAGGCCGTAGGGCCGGGTCGTCAGCATCAGGGAACCCGGGCTGGGTCCCGCCGGGTGCCTGTGGTTCGCCAGGTTTCCCTAGGTGCGGGCCCCGCGTGCCTAGGGGGATTGTGCGTCGTCTTGTCGATCGTCAAGGAGTGGCCGAGTCGAGTCGGGTACAGTGGCGCTCCGTCAGGTCGCTGCTTGCTGGCGTCAGTGGTGATGATGGGGGCACTATTGCCACGCCGGCCCCGGTCAGCGGGTAGGTGAGGGGCACTGTTGCCACGCCCTGGCTAACCAGAGGCATGGGCGGGGCACTGTTGCCTCGGTCATCAGTGGATGAAGACTCGTCCCATCGTACGGCCTGGATGGGATGGGAGCTGACCCGTGGCTGGGTTGAGGAACACGCCAAGGGTGGAGCTGGCTTGTTGGGGAAGTCTTGGTCGTGCCGGATTCGGCTATCTTGTGCTGGTTGTCGAGGCCGAGTCGAGAGGCCTGGCCGGGTTGGAGAGTTCGGCTAGATCCAGGGGCCTGGCCGGGTCGGGCGACCCGGCCAAGTGCGCGCCGGCTTGAGGGGTGATGCCGGCCCCGTTGTTTTTGAAAAGGATCTGGGTTCCGTTGCCTGCCCAGGGTTCATCCCCCCGACAAAGACCATGGTGTCCGCGAGGGCATCGCTCTCGGCTGCACAAGGTCGGCTGGGCTCGTCTCGCTTCTCTTGTGTACCCGGAGGCTTCCAAGTAATTTTATATTTGAACATGTAAATAAAACCAATTTTTTTCTTCTGAAAACACCAAATTTTACTTGTTTTAGAACTAATTAAAGTCTAGTTTTTTAGGGGTAAACCAAAGTTTACTTTTTTTAGCGGATCAACCAAAGTTTACATTTTTTTAGTCTGAACACACTTTATTTAGGGCCAGTTCTTTTGGCGTCTTAAAAAATAAGCCGCCTCCTTCCCCGCTTTTTCTATAAGCCATAAACGTCATTCATTGAAGCTTTTGAACTAGTTACGGGATAACTAATTTAGAAGCCTTAAAATATTTTGAGATCAGCTTATTTTCTAAACTGAGGAGAGGCAGCCTATTTGTTAAGCCGTTCAAAAGAACCGGCTCTTAATCAGAAAGGTTCATAGGAATACAATGAAGGTCTGGTGGGTTTATAAGCCCCAAATGGCGCCCATAATTTACTTTTTTTAGGGGTATATTTTCTTATTGGATTGGACAGAAGTTTTAGCAAACGCAGCAGGCCCATATCCAGCCCACTCAAACCTCTCCGACCCAACCCACGCACGCACACACAATCCCCACACTCTCCACTCTCCACTTCCGCTGGCTCCTGCCGCCGTCACTCTCGCCGCACCATCCCTCCCCTCCCCTCCTCTCCTCCGGCCTCAGATCACCGCGCGCAAGGTCCCAGCTGAGAGCTCGCAGGCTGGGGATCGATCGGTCAACACGGAGGATCTAGCAGTCGTGGACCCCACCGCCGATGGCGCCGCCGTTAGCAGACTGCATCGAGGCTGGCGACGGTGACCAGTCCTCTCAGTGAATACACCGCCAGGTGAGGCACTATTCTTCTTTCTTTTTTCCCTCTGTCATTCAATCCCAAGCCCGCCACCGGCTGGCTCAAATCAAAGCCGGAATACGTTCCCCCTTTCCAGATTTTATCACTTCCTTTTTTTCAGATTATTACTAGCAGTGAGTCTCGCACAATACAACGGTGACAACAGTTTCTAGCTTGTTGGGATTGGAATAACTCACTGTAGCTTTGAGTTTTCACGGCCATGGAGGGTGCTAAATCCAACAAGAGAGCAGCAGAAGCTCGTCGAGAGGGGCAGAGCAGCGCCAAGAGGCGGAATGTCAACGTGGCAGTGGACGGTGGTAAATCAAACGGGCGACAAGCAGAAGTCCGGCGAGAGGGACAGAGCAGCGCAAAGACGCAGAGTGTCAATGTGGCGGTGGACGGTGGTGAATCCAATGCGCAACAAGCACAAGTTCGGCGAGAGGGACAGAGCAGCAGCACCAAGATGCAGAAAGTCACCATGGGGTTGGATACCCTCGACTGCCCTGTCTGCTCCCAGCCCCTCAGGCCCCCGGTTTTCCAGGTAAATGTGTTTCGCGGTTCTACATATCACTACCACTATGAAAATCACACTTTAAGTTCCACTCTGGGTATATCAGTGTATGATTCGCATGAGAGTTTCCATGCTTATTTCAGTGTCCTAAAGGGAATCTCATCTGCTCGCCCTGCCGTGACAAGCTCCCGGAAAGCAAGCGCGGTGCTCCTCAGCGCAGCTATGGTGTGGAGCGCATCATTGAGAACACTTTTGTCCCCTGCAAGCATGGATGTTTGACGAAGATCACCTATTACGACATAGAAGAACACGAGAGTAGGTGCCCTCTCGGGCCATGTTTCTGTCCGGTCTCTGGTTGCGGCTTCGTCGGGACAACCGTGCCACTGTTAGACCATCTCACCACCCTGCACAAGCTGCCAAAGATGGCATTCAAATACTTCGTGCCATTTGAACTCCCTGCCCAACCATGCTCTCTTGTTCTCCGCGGTGGATATGGTCGTGTTTTCCTTCTCGAAGTGGCATCGCTGGAGTCCCTGGGCCATTCAGTCTCACTAGTTTGTGCTGGGCATAAGGATTGGCTTGGCACGATCAGGTGCTCGGTCGGTTTCTCATGCTTTGAAGGTCACTACCAGGTTTCATTGTTGGAAATTGAGAGGTCATCATTGTCTAATGGGTTGACAACGCAAGACTTCTATGTTGTGCCCAAGGTTTCAGGCGGACAAACTGATGTCATGCTCCGGATCATGATCGATTTGCTCTATGGTGACGACGATGTTCCTGAGGTGGAGGAGGACGATGAAGACAATAGCTACGTGGAGGGGGAGGATGAGGATATGACAACGAAGTGGAGGATGGCCATCACAAACCTGGGGGTGAGGGAGGATGACAATGACAGCGACGAGGAGGATGGGGATGATAACGATGAGGAGGAGGATGATGATATGGCGATAATTGGTACGTCGAGGCGTGGCGTGACAATCGCAAGTGAGAAGGTGAAGGACGACGGCAAGGATGATCGGGAGGACAATCAGAATGCTAACTGATGCTTGGCGCCACGTCTCGATGACAATGTCCACGGTGCACGTGCTTTTCAGCAAGACTTTGGTTACTATGGTGGTTGATGGCATTTAGGTGCAGGATGTGCTAAGAGCCTGAGGGACTACAATCTCAGATTCTTAGTACTACAATGCTGTATCATATCAATGTGTTAGGTTCTGCGTTAATCATGCAGTGGCAGTGTGAACTATGTAATACTCCCTCCCTCGGTGATGATCGAGGGTGCGTCTCGTGAAGTACACTGTGGTAGAGTGCGTTGGTCAGTGGAGCCTATTCTGTATTCTAGTGTGCCAATCAGTTTCTTTCTCCATTCCAGCTCTGAACTATGCAGTTTCTGTCTCAATTCTGCATTATAATGTGTCAATCAGTTTTTACGGGTTATTCTCAAAATATTTCATATATATACGGTAAAGTTGAATTTCTAACATGTTGTAACCCACTGCATTACCTGATCGTTTGCTCAGCCCTGCTCCGTTGTTGCATCCTGATTAAGCTAAATTGCAATACGTGGTCGGCAACTTGTTTGTTTGATGACTCCGATGTGATGTTGTAGCCGGTCCAAAATCTTTGTTTGAAGACTTTGACGTCAATATGTCATGATGTAGCTGGTTCAAATTGTTGAAAAGAAGGCCAATCAGTCTTTATTAATTACAATGTAGAGTACAGAACAAATATAACCACAGTTAAACCTTTACAAGATATGAAATTGGTACCTACGACAAAGTCGTCTTCTACAGCGGCGCCTTCAGAAGATATAAACGTCCTTGTGCCATCGTCGTCGTGCTCAACTGGTGATGGTCTAGACAAGAACTTTCATCATGGTTGTCGAGACTAGCCAATGAAGGCCAGCAGAATAGCAAATAAATAACGCCTTCAACAAGGTAACGACGCAAGTTCGTCGCTGCTGAGCCTGACCAATAAACATCAGAACAAGAGTTTTCACCCCGGATATGACGTGGTGTTCCAGTCACCATCTTAAAGATGGATCAGTCGATAGTCGCCTCTGCCAGTACTCCACGTCGGGCACTAGCAGATTGTTGGGACGTGACCATTGCCACGGTTTTCATATGGACGTCCATGGCTCGGCATGGAACTGACCGCTGCCACTCCATACCTTGCTGCTGCACCGTGTGATCTCTACAAAGGAATGGGAGGTCACCCTGTGCACGTATCTGGTGCACCGGGCCTTGTGGTGTACCTGGTGCATGAGGACATCATCAAGAAGCAGCATGCCATTGTCATCATGGGATGAACGTCTTGGGCAGCCCCGTCTGCTGTTCCACCCTCAACCCTTCAATTTTCCAGGTAATCGAGAGATTGCAATTTTTGTATGTAACCGTTAGCCCGAAAAATCATATGGGAACTCATGTGTTAATTATTTTACATTGCAATATGGCGGAGAAACGGGCGCCATTGCGCAGGATTTCGTCTGTCTCTGCGCATGATAACTAATGGGGCCATCACCCTTGCGGCGGAGTTCATGACACGATTAACTGGACTGTAAGTGCATCTGGTCAGTATACCTGCTCCAATTCCCGATGGCAACCAAAAATTCTTTCAAGTCAATCATCTGGAAACCTTGGATGCCAGGGAGGACGAATATCTTCTTCTGGGTGTTACACAAAGGTCGCCTTTGGTGCTATGACCGGCTCCAACGCCGCGGCTGGGAAAATGCCTATTTCTGTCAGGCAGCTGAATCTTCAGTGCATCTCTTCTGGTTCTGCCCAGTATCAATTCAGATTTGGAAGAAGGCTGCAGCAAAGCGAGGTTGTAGGGCTCTAAACCCTAACAGATAGGCTGGATCAAGCTACTCCAACGAAGCCACCCGCATGATAATCCAGCACGCTGCCCCAGGAACTGAAAGAAAAGCCGTGAAATCGATGTTCATCCTAATCTCATGGAAAATCTGGCAGGAAATGAATTGATGCGCATCCCGTGGGAAGATTGCATCGACTGATGAAGTGATCTAGGAAATCAAAGCAAAACATGGAGCTGTGGAAACTGGCCCGGTCAATGTTTCTTGAGCACCCCTTTGGAGACATAGTTGAGAGAATTTAGACTTTTGTTTGTTCCCACGGGCTTGTTTTTTCTTTTTTCCCGAGGTTATGTCTTTCGCTCATTTGATCACTTGATCAAACATTGTTTTCCCGCTCTCTCCTGCTAAATCAATGAAAAGCCAGCAACATGCTGGATCTTCCAAAAAAGAAAGTCATGTAACATGATCAATTTGATGATTTCTTGTGTCCTCTGGTACATTACATTCATATGATAACTATTATAAGTGTTATCTGATGAAACATTAGAAGCAACAAATTCTTGGAGAAAAAGTTTAGGATTTTTTTTATTATTAATCCTAGTGATGAAGGCGATAGCCTCTTTCCTTCTTAATTTATGCCTATCATAATATAGCAATATCAGTGGAAAAAAAATCCGCGTTTCTGTATAAGCCCTAGGTTAAGACATGCACAATTGTGAGACAAACGCTTGCATGGTTATAATATCCCCAGATTAGTGAAATGAAGAGAAGTTTACTTTTCACCTCAAACTAGCAAGCGTGTATGTGCAACACACGTCTCTCAAATACAACACATGTCTTTTGAATGTGATCAGCCCCTTGTTCAAGGCGGGCAGACTGCGGCGTAGGGAATCACAAGAGGAGCAATAAATATACTTCATCGGTGCAATAGCCGCCTAAGTTATAGAATAGTTGGAGTGCCAAATAGTTGGACTGCCAGATATGGTGGGGTTGGCACGGGCTTCAACCAAACACCCCATTAATCTTTGGAGGCTGATAGGCGCCAGGCCGGTCGCTCGCCAGCCGCACGATCGGGCGTGCGCAACCACTCAATGCATTCGTATCGTATCTTTCTTTCCCAGTCCTTTGCATGTGTTGTACTTGTACATGTACGTGGTTTGCGTCTTTCCAGGCCATCGCCCACGTTCCAGCCCATCGCACCCGCAACACTCGCCTCGTGTACGCGTACGCGTACTCGTACAACACGCTGCCGTCCCATGCCAGTCGTAGACGACGGCCGCCGCTGTCTCCGCCCATCGCGACTCGTCTTCCTCGCCGTCGGCCGCGACTCGCAGCGCCACCATCATGTGGTCGTAGCAGCAGCACTCGCTGTCGCCGGCCGTAGCGTCGCTCGCCGGTGGTAGTATTTCAGCACACACCATTGCTGGTGTAGCATTCGTTGTTGCCGGTTCAAGCAAAAGCAGGCGCCCGGTTGCAGCGGAAGCCATCATGTCAGATGCCGTGCACCATGCCAGTTGCAGCATATTGATCGACTACTCCCGGTCGCGCGCCATGCAGGTTGCAGCATCCGGGCCACGCACACCATCGGTCGTAGCATCCCGGCCGGATGCTCCTAGCTACAACCGGCTACAGCAGAGCTGCAACCAGTGTGCCGAATTGCTATGTCCGACATCATTTTTTGTTCCAACCAGTGATAGTTGGGGCTGTAACCGGCGCGCGGAGGAGCTGCAACCAGCACCCAAAAATGGTACGACCGGCGGTTAAGAAAGCTACTGCTTGTGTCATTTTTTGCTGCAACGAGTGAAAGCATAGATTGCGACCGGCGCGCGGAAGAGCTACAACCAGCACCGAAAAATGCTACAACCGGTGGTCAAGAAAGCTACTCCCTCTATTTTAATATAGATAACCCAACTTTATACCAACTTTAGCGCAAAGTTGGGTCATCTATTTTGGAACAGAGGGAGTACTATGTGTGTCGTTTTTTGTTGCGACGAGAGAAAGCATACAATGCGACCGGAGCGCGGAGTAGCTGCAACAAGCACTGAAAAATGCTATGACCGTCGGCCGAGAAAGCTACAGCCGGCCTCTGAAAAAGCTTCAAGCGAAGACGTGGAAGCTCAGAGGCGGCCATGAAAGCCTTGTCCACCGCCGCAACTCGTTGCCACCGGTCCGCGTCACCGTCGTAACTCGTCGCCGTTGCATCACCCAAAAAGCTTGTTTGTAGCATGGCCTGTGCTGGTCCCAGCAAATCATCTTGCCAGTAGAAGCTTTCCGTCTCGCCAGCCCCAACAAATAATCTCCTATTCCAGAAAAAAAATCCATAAATGCTTGGCAACAAAAAATCTCGCCTGTCGCAACAAAAATTCTCACCTGTCCCAGGAAAAATGATCGACGATTCTAGCAAAAAAACGGCTTGCCATCGCTAGGTCGTAGCGAAAAAATTCGCCGATCGCAACAAAAATTCTCACCGGTCCCAGCACAATTGATCGCCGGCAAAAAAATATTTTACTCTCAATCGTCGGGTCGTACCAAATATTCTCGCCCGTCATCGGTCACAACAGAAATTCTTGCCGTTCCTAGCAAAAATGATCGCCAGTTCCAGCAAAAAAGTAACTTGCCATTGGTGGGCAACAACCCAAAATTCTCGCCGGTTCCAGCAAAAATGATAGTCGGTTGCAGAAAAAAAGGCTTTGCCATCGCTATGACGCAGCAAAAATTCTCGCCTGTCCAAGCAAAACAACTCGTCATTTGTAGCAGAAGAAAGTTTTCTGTCGTTGGTCAGCGCGAAAAAACACACCGCCCCAGCAAAACTACTCGTCGTTTGTAGCAAGAAAAAGTTTGTCGTCGCTGGTCATCGCAAAAGGTCACACCAGTTCCATCAGAACGACTGGTCGGTTGTAGCAAAAAAATGCCTCATCGGCGCCGGACACAACAAAAAATCACGCCGGTCCTTCAAAACGGCTCACCAGTTCCATGATTGAAGATGAATAGATTGGAAGTTTTTCCCTCAAAAAAAAAGTTATCAACCGGTTGGGGCTCCGCCGGGTTCTCCTTGGCAATTGCAACGAAAAAGGAAAAGAAGAAAAAAAAAACGAGTGCACACGGCTGAGAATAGAGATAAGCGTGGGAAGAAAAGCGGCCGGGCAGCTCAATAAAAAAAGTGGCCCAGGCCCACCAGCATGTGGGGTCGTTGGTGCAACAGGAACACACGACCGGCGCGCGGTTAGGCCG